TACTTTATACTTGTTGATAAATAAGTACTTATAAAACCTCAATAATACAGTAAAGTATTAAGGCCGTTTTTTCTTTTTGTAAACTGAGGCCCAATCCAACTGACTTCTGTAAGGTCCCACAAGAACAGTTAGGAGTTTAACTCAAGACTCCCTAATCCCAGCCTTCTGTATTAAAAACACACGAGCAAGAAAAACCTTTAGATTTTTTGCTAGCAGTATAAAACATTTTCCAGTGTGTTACCATCTTTTTGCATGTAATATCAGGTAATATGGGCATGCAGCCTCACTGTTTTTTTCCAAGTCATAAATGATGAAAGGGTAAAACCCATAGAAAAATTAGGAAAATACACTTAGCAGCCAACACAAGCAACCCATAGGAAGTGCTGTAGGCAATTGGGTTTAGAAGTATAAACATCACATTAGTAGACCCATGAGAAAGCATGATGTAGCCACACCTGGAGAGTCACTCTCCTATTCCCCTCCCAACCCACTAATGAAAACAAGTCTGAAGCCAAAATGCGAAGATTCAACTGTACAACATCATTTCTGGTCTCAAAGGCTAACTACATCAAACAGACATAAAATAAGCTGGATTCACTTCAGCCAAAATATGTTTCCACTAGAAACAAGATCGAGGTCTGTCTAGAAGACCTTCGGATTTTACTAGATGCTGTAAATCTGTTCAGCAGCTGTGGGTGGCACCAGTTTCACAATAAACTGGACTATGGAGTAAGTAGGAAAAGTCCTAGGTAAAATAACTGAAAGCTGAACAATAAAACAATCATCAATCATTCATGGCTCTTTCCTGTAGGAAACATGTGCCCCTATTATCTGGATATCACAGTAAAATATTCACATTAGTATCTGGCTCGCAAAATACCAAGCATTTTCTTTTTTTTTTTAAAAAAAAAAAACACCACACCCCACAACAACCTTTTCCCCCAAGAAAACTGGTTAAATAACCACCAGTTAAATTAAAAAAACCAGAAAATGCTCTAAATATTAGATTGCATAGCAAAAGTAAATGTCTATATTCCTGTTATTCCTGTACCTCTGAGCATGCACAGGTCTCCAGCAGCTGTTCTCGCTAAAGGTTGGCAAATTAATCCTAGGAGACTGTTGGTGAAGCCAGGGGCACATAGCAATGCAAATTGTGGAAACTCACCTGTGGATGCTCCACCCAAATCATAATACAATTTATTCTAACACAGGAAAGCCAAACCAGCCTTCAGCTTGTGGCCCGTATTAACCTCAACACCACACAAACCACTGCAACAAAGAATCCCACTACGGGGGTCACATCTAATTGAAACTAGCTGAAGAAAGTTGAGTGTTTGATCCTAATGAGGCAATAGCTCGCTGATCATCAGAGTGCGTTCCAGCAAGAACCTTACAGTTGATGATTCATTCACCCAGGGGATTGCAAAATGCGTATTTTCCAGTCACATCCCTGCAAATGTCATCAACGGTAGAGGAGAACCCCCCTCATGAGGCTGCTACTAGTCTGATCTGTGGCACAGAGCTAAGGCCCACCTCTGCATCCCTGTTACGAGCCATCCTCTGCTCATCTCCTCCTCCTTGCTACACATTACCACCCTTCTAGCTCTTGCAGAATAATTTCACATCATAAGTACTTAACCTGGTTCTGTCAGGATGATCTGAAGTAAAGCATTACTAACTGTTTCTAGGCCAATATGGGTCCTTTTAGCAGAACCAGAGTAGAAAGCAACTACACGCAAAAATCACACCTGCATATGTGGAGGAGGAGGAGGGAAAAGGCAGAGACCAAGGGAGGAGCAGGCTGGGACAACAATTCCTTAATCTGGCTCGGCTCCATTTCATCTGATCACAGTCTCAGTAGCACCACTAGTGAAAGGTGGAGCTTCTGTGAAGACTTCCAAGCATGGTTCTTTCTATCTATCTATCTATCCGGCTAGAATAACAATCCCCAGCTTGGGTTGAATAAATCATGGGGGGAAAAAAGGGAACTCTAAATACCCCTGCAGTTGTGAAAAGAATGCATATTATACACATGGCTCCCAAAAGGGAAAAGAAAACAAACCAAAACCAAAGATAAGCATATAACTCAAGTTCAGCAAAAAAAAGGTCTATTTGGCAGCTGTGACAAGTTTAGAAGAAATAATGCATGATTTCAAAATACTACTTTTCAGTGCAATTCCTCACACAAAAATTCCCTAATTGCTTTCAGTGCATGCAAAAGAAAAAATGCTGTTAATGTAAATAGTGCCAGAGCCCTGAAATTTTGAAGATGATCCTCAACATGGAGATGTAGTTTTCCAAACAATCAGGAGAACGTTATGGATCAACTCTGGAACGTGCACTCTGTTTAACCCACTTACATCCTCCAACACGGATTTAAAATCCACACAGACTCCAAACACCCAATTCTGCCACAGTGAACCACATCCAAGATTACAACTGGCCTTTTTGATTTTCTGCCAGAAGCACAGGTTCCTACTCTGCACTTTTTATTTACTAATATTTTTCAAACAGATTGCAGTCATACCAATAAAGACGTGCTTTCTATGGCCACAATCCTGCTGCCTAAGAAGTACCCATGACATGGAACACCTTCAAAAACAAGTCAGATGCAGTTTGGGTAAGTTAAGGAGATGCTGTGAGGGATCCTTGATGGGACTGCAGTAACTTGTATGCTCCACAGTCCTCAGTCCCCTCTAGAGGGAGTCCCCCAGCTGCTCTAAGGAGTGGAGAACACCGTCCAGGACTCTACACAATCCTTTGACCTCATTCTGCTTTTGTTTCTTTGACTTTTCCTCTGAAGGAGCTGCATGATTTTGGGGAAGGGGTATCATTATCAGGTTTGGATTTCTTCAGAAGTTACATACCAGTAAGCCTTTTGCATGAACCTCATCCTTATTTGGCCTCAAACTGGCAGCTCTACTATCACTAAGACAAGTAGTTCTAACAATGTATGTGGATTGAAACAATGACCTATTCACCAAGAACCACATTCAGGCATCATTCTGAGAAAATTTCAAGGCTCAACTGCTGAAGGATTTATTTGAGAGCTGCGTATGTCACAACAGACAGAAAAGATCATCCTTTGAAAGCTGAGCTGAACATAAGTACACCCCCTCATGGCAAGAGAAAGTGATCTTCCCTGTACTGAAAAGATTTGTTAGCTCCACCATTTAAAACCTGGAAAATCAGACCTTAGTCTAGTCTTACCAAGCACAAACTTCATGTGGTCAGGCTCTGCTGCCTTCTCTGCTCATGCTGGAATGAAGGGAGTTAGGTTAGAAAGACTCAAAAAAATAAGCTATTTTTTTTTCAAAGCAGGAAT